ACTTGTGCCATCTACCGCAATCTTGTGCCCCTTTGAGTGGTTTTATAATTTATCGCTTGGTGAACACTAGCTGAATAAAAACTTCCATTAGGCAATCTATCAAGTGCCGAAGCACACAAATAAATATCGTAGCAAATGCTAATGAGTGAATGGCATCACAGTATACAATAAATGATAGCAATCAGCAAGTACAGATTGGCGTGTGCAATAGAAGGGTGCTAATCGCCGTACAAACGCCGTCTCCCTCGCTAGCAGTGCTGCCTTTTCATTAGGCCAATTTCACTAATTGCCAACCCTTGCAAACTTTCCAGTCAGCAGTGCTGCAATATTTCGTCGGGTGGCATTTCACTGTCACTTATATAATGGTCAGTCTGTCTGTCTGCTGTCGCTGCATTCATCACTGTCTACTGGACAGCTGTTCGTACAATGGTAGCCACTGTACAGTAGTGCTTCAGGTCGGCGGTTCTTTGTGCGCCAAGATGCGCTCAAAATACCAAGTGTGTGGTTGCAGTGCAAGACACGACGGCAAGGCACGTCAAGAGGCTACGGGAGATTGTCTTGTGAAGCGGTGAGCACAGCTGGCAGTACGACTAGTACCTCCATCGCTACGATGAAAGAAAGAAAAGTATGAAAGGCAGAAAGATGAAAGTGATTATCAAATGTGCGATAATCGATCAAGGGAAGACAATGAGAAACAGAGTGGTCGTAGTTGAGGTAATCAAAAGTGCCAGACAGTGCACACAGACAGCGCAGTGATGGGGGTAGCGGTGAAGGATAGACAGTGCCGCCAAGATTACCTCCCTTCGCTATGGCTCGTTCAAGTAGCAGCCGCAGTGGCAGACAATGGCCACTAGTCGACACTGGGCGCTAATCGCACCAGGTGGAAGTATACCTGAACGCGCACAATTTCAAGCAACCACCAAGCGTGTTGATAGCACTGGTGGAAGAAGGGCAAGCCAAGGTGTCCACTCTGTGTCGGCAGATGAATACAGACAAGAGAGGAAAATTGCCCAGCGGATAGGCAGTCTCGGCAAAAGGCTTTTTTCTAATCTACCATTCAACCTTGGGCTGCAAAACTTTGCCATAGTGCTTTAAACTGGTTGCGCCGAGAAACAGTTGAAAGCACTTTCATTTGATTACCATTTTCTGCACACAAAACTTATTTAGAGCTTTCAAAAAGAGCCAAGTGAAGCAACAAAATTCATAAAGAGGTAATGCACACAACGAGGGCACTTTGAGGACACTCTGCAGTGGCTCGCCAAAAGTCTTGCCACTGAGACAATGGTTCGTCGATTTATCTCTCGACACTTTACTCCAAGTTTTCCATAAAAAAAGTTGACTTAAAAATGCTCATAAAAGAACTACAAGTGCACTCTAATGGCCCGAATACTACAGTGTCACCACTTTTGGCGGCATCTGCACAAATCTGTTGGACTAAAAATAAACCAAGCCTATTCCTTATTTAATTTCCAATTTTGCCAGTAAAAGTATCCCAATCAAAGAGACCATCATCTTTAAACCCAAGCCTGGTAAAAAGGTCATGAAAGCTGGAGCGGCAGGCCTCGTAAGCAGGCGTCTCTTCAAAACCCAAGTTTCGACAATAACTGTGAAAAATGCAAAAAATGAGTCATCACATAGCCACGACGACGTCAATACCTAAGATATCTTGCAAACTCCTCCGGACAGTTTTCAAAAATGTCTTCCGGGCTCAAGGCCTGCTTCATTGAGCCAATCTTTTGCAGTTGCTTCATTGGTGTGCTCTCTGACAAGCTGGACTGCAGCAAAGCAGACCAGGGGACGGACCCTTTGAGGAAGTACAGAAACATGTAACCGAGTGACTCCAGATCATCTCGACGAGACAGCTCGTAGTTGAAGTGAGCATTGCAGGACATGAAGCGAGCAGTGCCAAGCATTGGTCGGTTTGAGCGCAGCCGAATGTGCCTCTGGGTCACTCTGTCAATGTACTCTTTGGCCATTCCAAAGTCCACTAAATGTATGGTTTTTTCGCCCTGGGTTCCTGATTGGCCCAACACAAAGTTGTCCGGCTTGATGTCACGATATATGAAACTGTAACAAGAAACAAAGTTAGGCATTTTTTTCAAACTACTTCACGACCTACTTTTTCCCATGCAAAACCTCAAGGCGAGAGATGCTTTGAATGGCAATGCGCAAAACAGTTTTAAGCGAGAAGGTCCTGTTGCACATCTGAAAAAGCTCTTTGAGGTTTTGGCCCAAAAGACTCATGACGATAACCGACTCGGTTGATGACTGCTGGTAAAAGACACACTGTGCGAACCCGACTGCATTTCCGATGGACTGGTACACCCGATGTTCTATTGGAAGCTGCAAAAAGGAGCGATCTAAACTCTCAAATTTGACAGCAAACTTGGTGCCCCCATTGACCTCTTCGGCGCAGTATATTTCACCAAATGCTCCTGAAACGGCAAGAACTAGTCAATACGGGTTGATCACTTGGCAACAGACTCACCTTCCCCAATCAGTTTAATCACTTTGTAGCGATCGTTGATGACTTGGCCAACTTTTGTCTGGACTTCTTTAGCCATAAAATGTTTTTACTCCAAAACAGTGTTGATGAACAAAGTAACGTTTAAGCGATATTGTGTATAAATTGTGTACAATTTAGAATTAAAAACACATGCTTTATTGAATCGATAAATATTTGTTCCCTTTTTAGAGTCTAAAATCTTTAGACTAAAATGGTAGACTAGCCAAGTAAAAAATGCCAATAAAACTGATAATAGTTATACTATCAAGAAAACACTTTACAGTTTTTCTTTTACATAATGAAAATCATCTGATAAAAGATACTTTTCAAGAATTTCATCAGGAATGATTTTCAACAAATTTTCAATCGCTCCACTTTTAGAGTCTTTTTTGGTGCTGCCAACACTCGAAGCGCTTGTCATGCCATAACATATAGTGGCTTCAAATTTTTTATTTGGTAATGTAGACCAATCAACCTTTGGATTTACTCCACTTCGTTGGCACAGCTCGTTGAAAATGCTGTTCTGTAAAAAAATCGTCAGAAATCATCTATTCTTGTTGTGAGACGGTTAAAAACATACAATATTTTTTTCATTTGTTGCACCACTGGGTTTATCCAGACTCTAATCAAGTCCAAGTTAGACAAGTGTGGATAAAACACTTTACAGCATGATTGTTTTGACTCACTTGTTGGGTTGCATCAGCGATATAGTCTTCCAATCTCTTGTACGCCAGTCCCATCTCGTCGCATCGTTGGTGAAACTCTTCCACTCCCATTCTTTCAGGAACAAAAGTCAGAGGTTTGCTACTGTTATTGTTGTTGTTGTCAACATCCATTTGTACAAACCCAAAAACCTGAAAACATCTGTTAAAAATTGTACAGCTTCGACTATTGCGACCAGACGAGCAGCAGAGGCAGAGTTTTGGTCCGCTACTCCGCAGTAGCTACACAGTCAACGATACAGAGCTTTAGCGTTGGCTGTGCAAGAACAGCCGTAAAGTGGACCAAAATCCTCTCTCTAATGAGCGCATTGAGTTAATTTGCCAACCGCCGAAAAAATATTTCTAGCCAAAACATTGACGGATTCTCTTGTTCTACTTGCAAATTCTTCACGAGTTATTTTGGGAATCAGCCAACTCGGAAGTAGCTGAAACGCAAAAGCTCATCGGCCTCACCCTCTCCATCACAAATGTCGTCCATCAGGTGGAAAAAGTTTTTTNGCCAACTCGGAAGTAGCTGAAACGCAAAAGCTCATCGGCCTCACCCTCTCCATCACAAATGTCGTCCATCAGGTGGAAAAAGTTTTTTGTCGATTCCGGACTTCCTGCAGAGGTGTGCGAAAATTATGCAGTCGTTTTCAGCGAAAACCGCATTCGCTTTGACATGCTTGAAGAGCTCAACAAAGAGATTCTCTACGACATGGGCATAAAAAAATTGGGAGATGTAATCTCAATACTCCGCCACGCTAAAGAGGTACACTCAAACTCTTATCGTGAAAAGGTGTTTGCCACCGATGAAGGTAAAGATTCTACCAAGCAAGACAACTCTACTTACACAAAGGCTGATTCAACTATATCCAGCAATAATCTGAAAAAGAGCGGCTCTGACACCAGACGAATTGTTCTTCCACAGCAGCCAAAACAAAAGGAGACCACGACAAGGATTGTTATCAACAAAGAACCAACTACTGAAGCCAGCAGTGACGTGAGGTTGGTTCGAAAAACAACACTCCCAGCTCCCTCTGCCAAAGAAACGGTCATTATTCGAACTGTGGGTGGCATTCAAACATCGGGGCGGAATGTCACTGGCCTTGATCCGCCCGGCTTACCAGTTTCTAGAAAAAGAGTTCAGCCACCAAACGAAGAGTCTGTAGATTTTGTCGCCAAGGTTGTCAAAAGCGACACCAGTAGTAATCCTACAGTTCGGAATCGCATTGAAGCACAAAGTCGTCTTTCCAACTTTTCAAAAGAAATTCAAAAAGTCATCAGCTCAAATGGTCCTTCCAGGGCTCAAACTTCGTTAAGTTCTCAACCAAGTAGTAGTCTACCGTCTCAAACATCCATCAAGGCAAGGCTCACTTTAAATAAAGCCGATTCAACTACATTTCAGAGTAATCAAAGTTCAACATTGCGGAGAAATATAAACGTCAAGTCTCGGCTAGGGATAAACAACCCTCCAACACCTGCTGCTAGCACTGTCAAAGGTAATTGTAAACAATTGAAGTGTTTGATGCAATTTTGACCATTTTTTGTTGTTTAGATCGTCTTGGGCAAAAATCGGTATTCTCTCGCGTTTCTCTACAAAACAGCAACCCAAAGTCAAACTCTGTTTTTCAACGATTAGGCGTTTAGCTTTATAAAAAGCTTGTAAAAAGCTCACGAACACAAACACTCATTTGATTCACTTTCCGTCTCATCTGCTCTGGTAAACCGAGATTAGATTTAATGAATTTATTGAAATGCTGTATATAAGTTGGAAGCTGACATCATTTTGGTTACTTTTCTGCTTCTTTGACTAAAATTTCATCTTTTACTTCAAGTTTAAACGCAACGCGGTTGACCTTTCCCATTGGCAAGCGAGGAATTTCATCAACAAAGCGAACGCCACCATTGAGGCGGTTCTGATAGCCCATGTTATCTGTTTAAATTCACCAAAAGAGTTAATGTAAGCGAATGTACAACTACTAAACTGCGCCCTCACCTTTCACGTATTGAACGATTTCCTCTTCGGTTGCACTTTTATTCTCGGCGAGCTGCACGTAGGCTCGCAAGTGCTGTCCTTCGGAGCGGTGCTTGACGCCTACCACGCAGACCCCAGCAATGGCAGGGTGCGTCTGGAGGAAGCTCTCCACTTCAGCGGGCGCCACTGTCCAGTGCTTGTACTTGCAGAGCTCCTTTATGCGGTCCGTTATGTAGAGGTTGCCCGCCTGGTCGTAGAAACCAACATCGCCACTGTGATACCATCCGTCGCTGTCGATTGTCTCTCCGGTGGCTTCGTCATTGTTCAGGTAGCCGGCAAAGCAATTGGGGCCTCTAAAGCACACTTCTCCCGGCTCAGTCATCGGCAGGGCTTCACCACTTGACAGGTCAATTATTTTCATCTCCACATTGGGCAGTGGACTTCCGATTTTGCCCGGAGAATAGGGCCCATTGTTGGTGACAGAGCCCTAGCAAAAACAATGGCCGTTTGGTTACAAAGCATTTTAAGGTGGGTAAAGTTTGATAGCCTACCATAAATTCGGTCGCACCATACACCTCATAAACTCTGACGCCAAGTTTGGAAATCAGGCCCAGAGAGAAGTGTTCAGGCAACCGCGAGCCACTGAAGTATATCGACTTGAGGCTACTCAGATTGTACCTCGTGCAAAGCTCTTCATTTTGCAGTAAATCTGCTGCAAGAGCCAAAGTTATGATGGCTACTGAAACGCGGAACTTTTCGATGGCTTCCAGAATAGCAGCGTGCCTACCCTCTTGCCCGAACATTACGAGAGACATCTGCGAAGAGGTATTGGGGTTAGTGTGAGTGGTAGGCAGTTGCTCGACACTACTGACCTGAGACGATAAGCAGTTGATCACAAAGACTGAACCGGAAATGTGGCCAAGGGGAAAGAGAAAGGAAATGGTGCAGTTTCTGTTTTGAGCAAATGCATTCTTGTGCAACATTGCCATGACACTGGCAATAAAGGACCTGTGGGTTTGCTTTGCCCCTTTCGGTGCTCCAGTGGATCCGGAAGTGTATCTGTCTTGGTGGAATTTCAACGTACCACAATATAGTAAATTAAATTAAATCAAAATGTTAGTATTGGTGATCAAGAGTCATCAGTTGATAATGCTCAGGTAAAACAGGCTTACACAATCATGTGATTGTCACTTGCTGGGTTCACTGCAAAATGCGGTATCCGGCCAAGTGATTGCCCATTTCCATGAGCTAGCAGCTGCTTGAATGTGACAATCTGTTTAGGCGCTAATGGGTGATTTTGAATTGACTCGGGGACCGCTGAATCGCCGTCTATAATGAGAAGCAGCTTCAAATTGCTAATGTACTGTGAGTGGGCTTCGTCCTTTAGAATTTGCTCGATAATGGGTATCTTGTTGCGTGAACAGCAGAGAATGCGAGAGCCCGAGTTGTTCAAGTGCTGGTAGGTTTCGTAGGCACCGTTGGCCGGTTTGCTGGGTGTTATGGGCACACCCAGGTAGGCCATGGCGAGCAGGAGGACGACATACTGGGGGTGATTATCGCCAAAGAACATGCAAAGGTCATTGCAAACCGCAGAGAATGAGGCGTCCAGTGTGGGCAGCGAGAGCAGAGCGCAGGCAATTTCATTTGCCTGTGTGTGCAGTTGCTGATACGTCAAGGTCGATCCACTGAGGGCGTCAATCTGTTAAACAGTTTTTGGTAAATGTTTGACCAGGTGAAAGATCAAGAGAGCAAACTTACTAAAGCTACTTGCTCGGGGTTTGACTGAATGCATTTGCTAATTTTCTCCAGCAGAAATTTTCCGACCGAGATGTCTGGTATATCATAGCTGGGAAAAGCCGATTTGACGATATTTTTTTCGGTTTGCATTGTGTTTTGAATGTTTCTCTCCGACCGACATGTGAGGCGTCGAGTACAACTGCGTAAGATTTTATAGCAAGCCAACTGCTACAAGCATACGTGAAAGTACATTTACCAGTCATCTTCGGCTGTCTGTTGGTGTTCGTAAAGTCCTGGCAGATGATTATTGGCTACACTAAAAGTGACATTCACTACTGGGTTGATAGCAAATCAGGGTGATGCCTCAATGCAGTCTAATATCGGTGGCCTTTGTTGTTTAAATTGCAAAGATTTTTTATGTATTTGTAGTTTGTAGCTAAATAAATTAAGGCTGACAAAAGCTTCGTTTTTCAGTGAAATCAACTGTTGCTTATTTTTTGTCCTTTAATAATTTAAAAATTTTTGCTACAAAAAATGTTTAACATAAAATAATGCGCATAAAATTATAAAAAAGCTTTTTAAATAATGCGTATAATAAATTCAAAGATTAAGGAAATACAATAGAACTTTTTAAACTATCAAAAAATCTGAATATAAAACAAACTTTCTTTTTTAAAGTATTTATGTTTAAAACTGTTTAAAATTAATCAAATTATAGCAGATTTAAACAGTTATTACAGTATATCAAAGTAAAAATCTATTCATTTTTTATCTGCATTTTTAGTAAAATATTTAATACAAAACTTATTTAAAAAAGAGATTAAAAGTTGATGAGTTTCGGTTTAAACATATTGTGATATTCAACATTAAATTTTTTTAACAATGTTGTTTAATCAATACATATATTACAAAAAGTTTAGCGCTAATCTTTTAACACAAGTTGTTGATTTTTAATTTTTAAGTTTAAATAAATTAGCATTTTAAAAACAATTAAAAAAACTTATCTTAAGGCGACAACGGTTTAATTGAATTTAAAAATAAATAAAAATAAGTTATTTGTCTACATAAAACATTGCCGTTTTACACAGTTCACTGTATGGTTTCGTCAGTGTCGTTGTGCATTTTGTTTGTTGAAAATTCACAATAAAACTAACGAGCGTGTTGCTCACACGTATTATTCCTTAATTTGCGTTCATTTACATCCCTAAACTTTTTTTTACAATTTTTTTATAAAACTCATCAAGATTCCAAAGCCTGCAGCTTTTTCAAATAAAAAAATTAGTTGTGCAATTTACCTTTTTGATTAAAAACTCCCGAATAGTATTGTTTAATTTTTTAATTATTTGTTTGGCTCGTACTTCAAATTTTTATAGCTATATTTTTTACTTTCGTTTGTGCACTACAAACTTTTTTATTTTTATTCAGTTAACTTGGTCAAGCATTTTT